TAAGCCCTCCTGACTCCCATTCTACCAACTCTGGGATTCTCTGAAGTCCTCTATGTGCCCTGGGTTAAAATAAAGACAACAAAAATGCTTTTGAAAAGGACTGTGATGTAGATATACCCACAGATTGGTTCACTGGACACACTGCTGCTTGAGGGATACTCCTGTATAGCGTTCATTCAAGAATCTAAATTTATAAACATAATTAGCAATTAAGGGATGGATATTTTCCCAGTATTTTTTTTTTCCCAGGCTTGCTGCATCTGTCTATAAAATGATGTGCTGGGTCATACAATAAACCATAGGCACGTGTTTTAAGAAAAAAAGTAAAAGGTAGATACTCGATTTTTTTATTTATTTAATTAGTTTTAAAGTAGGAATCTAAATTTGTAGACCTCTGCAGACTTTTCCATCTGTTACTATTTTAAAATATGCTGTTCTTTAGTAGGCTCATTTTTAATATACCAGTGAAATAGAATTTCAATTTGGAATAGGATGTAAAAGAATAGCATAATTAAGTGAATATTACAGGGAAGCTGGTAGCATTAAGATCTTCTACATGGGAATCTGAGATTGGTTAAACACAGTATTAGGAGAGTTTGTCACCCAAAAACTTCCCTCTTTCAGCAAAAGACTTCCAGAATGGGTGGTTGGATTGGTGACAAATAATGCTGGTTGAGCACAATTTTTATTAACTGCAGTAGGAGTCTTCCCTACACATTTAAATGTAAAATTTATCTGCAGAAGGCAGGTGGAGTTAGTCTGCAATCCAATAAGGTTTACTTCTGCCTTTGACATTTTGCATTTGGTTTGGGCTCTGAACTCCAAAACGGAAGAGCTCTGCATCCTGTATTCCTGACCAATAGCCTGATTCTGTCTTCAGTTTCAGTGGTGCAAGAGCATCTCTAGACACCAGGGAAGTGAATTGGGATAAGGCTGGTGAGATCAGGATCAGGCCCCCGTGACATCTCAGAGCAGCCTGGGGAAGGGTTTGAGATCAGAGAACAAAGTAATTGCTGGCAAGTCCAGAATGGTAAAGAATTTACTTTCATACATTCACAGCTTGAAGAATTTGTCTTTTATATAAATTGATAGCAATAGGGTAAAGTTACACACAGTTGCTGTTGCTTTGTTATTGAGTTTGACTACTGGTATAGGTGCATCTATCACTTTGTTTTGTTACAGTGTTGAAGTAGTGCATATAAATAAAGGGGATAAATAACCTAATTTACTACGAGCAAGAGTCACAGTATATTAAAAACTGTGACACAGGGAAAGCTTTTGCCTCTCCTGGAAAAAGTTTTATAACAGATCTTTGCAGCCATCATTTAAACTGGCAGGGCACAGTACACAAAGATCCCGAAAGCCCAGGCACAAACTCATTCAACCTTTTCAAAATATATCCTTGGCTAATATGGCTCCCCTGATGGAAAAGGGAATTTTCCCATTGACTTTACCAAAGCTGAATTTCACCCAAGGGATTGCAATTTTATTTCAGAACTATTCCGGTTTTGCACAAAAGAGGTGCTCTCAGGTTTACGTTAATGAGTAAGCCCTGGGTACCCGCAGATCACCCATCCATCTCCCACTTCTCACAACTGCCTAAGGCAGTTTTCTGCCATTAATCCTTGAGGGGATGTGTTAGGTGGGTTACTGCTCTCTCTCTGCAAACCCTGAGACAGCTTGAGGGCACACGCTGTCCCTGTTTGGGGCAGGGAAGGAAGGAGCACGCCTGTTCCCTGCAGCTCCTTGGGAAGCAGTGGATCTCCTAGCTCTTCAGCAGCGCTGCCTCCCCTCTGGCCAGGCATTCCCTTCCCCGCTGCACCCAGAGGGACCTGCAGTTGTCACATGCTGTGTTTCTCGTTAGTGCTGACCTGCCTTTTGTTTCTAATCATCAAGCAGGTTTTTAATAAGCTGGAGTTACTGTTGTTGGCTCCTGCACACCTCAGATGTGTTTCGGTGCTGTAGCTGTTCAGACGCAGACATGAATTTAGGATCGGAGCCTACAGAGCTCAATTAACAACTCTCCCTTAGGAGGGAGTGTGGCCTGGTTTCCTTTTCTCATATCATCTTGTGGCAGGTGATTGGTAGAAGTGCTTCCTCTCCAAAGCAAGCTGTTTCTTTGCCCTTCAGAAACGTTCTGATTAAATCCTCCCCGACTCAGTGGCGAGGTGTGTACCTACATTTGGCTGGGCTCACAGGGCTTGTCGCATCCCGGCTGATGGGTACTGATGTGTGTACAAGGTGTTTCTAAGAGCTCCTTTTGTTTGCACAGAACAGCTAGGGAAAAAAAAAAAAAAAAAAAAGAAGGGGAGGGTGTTTGCCAGCATGGCATGGATGGTCTCTGAAAGAAATGTGCATCCTGTTGCATGTGTGTCTGGAGAGTCAGCCCAGTTGCAGGCCAGCGTTTGTTGCATCTCGGCAAGGTGCAGTAGGAGATGCATTGGGTGTTAATTCGGATCCTGCCACGCTCCACCATCTCTGAGGCAGCCCTGGAACGCAAAGGTACGAGGGGCACAGTTTCTGTCTACTTTTCCCAGCTCTTGAGGGAAAGTGCTAACTTATTGCTGACCTGACCTGTATTAATAAATATTTCTTATCCTTCAGTGCTGGCTCAGATGTGGAAGCCGGTAAGCAGAGTCACAGCCAACTCTTTGCTTTTCTCTCCCTCATATTTGCCTTAGGAAGGAAACACAGACTTCCATGTCCACAGCATGGACTTCCAACCACACCGGGGTCACCTATCCATTTACTCCCTTGAATGTGCAAGTCCCTTCTGTGACCTTGTCAAGGAGACAGATTCATCAGAAACAATAAAGAGATGAAATGAAAAGACGAAGGTGCCTGAGCTGTCTTCAGCTTGGATTTTTCTGCCAATTGTCACATTACTGCAGAAGTCATCTCCAAGCTTCAAAAAAGGTGAACTTCAGCTGCATCTGTAAAACAAGTGAGTAACAGGGTGGGGACTTATACATGAGCAGGACAGGGAGCTCCCTTCCGCCCCTCTGGCGCTCCATCCCACCAACCTCCAGACAGTGGTGTTGTGTCACTGCACGAACATTATAGGCAGGGTGGTACAGTTAAAGCCACAAACATTGCAAATCTCTGTCCCTCACATTAAGAAGATTGCCACAAAGCCTTCGCAAGCAAAAGACTGTAGCATCCTAAGGACATGGGCAGTAAAATATTCCTAAAGGCTGGCTGCTTTGATGAACTCGAACAATGATCTCATCCACTTTTCTGCTGAAGCTCTGGAAGCTTCTGTCCATTTCCCCGCCTGTTATTTATTTCTATTAGTAGCACTTATTGGATGCTGTGTGCCTTGACTCCTTGTCAACTTCCTTTCAATGGAAGTCGAGGATGCTAAAGTAATTTGCAGCCTTTAGACAATTTTTATTAAAAATCAGTCGGTGCAAAACTTCACTGGAATTCAAAACCTGGATATTCTGTATATGTAAATAAATGTCTAGAGATAGATGAGTTTTGGACCAAATTTTATACACAAAATTACTCAGAATTAATCTCTGCCTGCACTCTGCGCGATTCTGATTTATGGAGGCATTATTGATGAGCTGCAGTGGGCTGGCTCTTTGGCTGAAAAGGTTAACTGAAATGAACAGGTTTTTATGTAGCAGGATCTCGAAGTAAGAAAAAAAAAAGTGCTGCGTCTGCTGAATCATCAAGACAGGAGAATGGAGACAAAAATTGGTTTGGGAACGACAGTATTCTCAATGTGCAGTGGGGTACTTCCTTCCAAAGAAGAAATAGTATTTGCCAGGATGACGTTAATCAGCAAGGAGGCAGATAGATATTCACTGCCTGAAAACCTGGCAGGCAGAGGATGCCCTTTCTGCCCAGCCTGCCTGCCACAGCACACGCTGGCTCACAGGCAGCCTGACCTGTGCAGAGAGAGGCCAGGGCAGCGGGCAAGGCCAGAATTAATCACTTCAGGCCAGGCAGCAAGTTGTGCACCCGCATGGGTGAGGGGAGGCCTCTCCTGCTTTTTGCTGTCGCTTCCCCCTTCTCTGACCTCCTGCCAAAACCTCCTGCCTGGGGAGGTTTGATGTAGGGCCCCCGGACCTGAAGGGATCTAGAAGATCCTTCAGGCTCTCCTCAACACCACAGGCGTCCTCCGTCATCCTAGATCAAGGGGTTATCAAATGGAACTGAAAGGTCCAAAAATTGTGCCCCTATACCATTTGATTGAAAAGCCCTCAAAAATTCATCCTCAGTGCCTACCTCCACTCCAAGCGTCCCTCCCAGTGGCGCCTGGCCACTAAACACAGGCACTTGCTGTTTGAGGGCAACATGCAAAGTTCCCGCAGGCAGAGAAGTGTCTCAAACCAGGTGTAATCAAGGGCAGGATTCATAGCACAAAGTGGGGCTGTGGCTTCGCAGAAGTCACACACACCGGTTTCACCCGGTTAGAAACCACTGAAAAAAGTTAGTTTTCTGGCAGGAATTGCTTTATACTTTGAAAATGGGTCATCATCTTCTTGTTGATTTCAAATGCGAGGGAGCTTTCCCAGGAGTAGCTTGGTTGCTGGTTATTCATGGCTCCAGAGCTGGTTATTGCTAGTACACTGCTTCATGTAACTTTGTAGCTGGACTGGGAAATGCTGCCTCGCTTTCTGCCGTACATGGCCTAAAAAAACCTCCACGACTTGATCTCCGTTGCAGGGGAGTGCAGATAGATCAGTGCAGCGAAGCTGAGCTCATCATGCATACTCTCCAAATGCATTAAGACAAATAAAGAAATATGAACAGTGCTGTGGTTTAATGGCTATCTGCGTACATACAGGCTATGTGTCATACTTTGTATATGCAAATACATTTTTTAAAGGCAGTTAAAAACACAATTAAACTATGCTGGCTTTAGCCAATTACTGTCACAGAGCGAGTCAGCAAATTTTACCCTCCACTGTTAATAGGAGGAGTTGGCAAAACCTGTTCCTATCTTGCTTTGGTGTTTTCAGATCAGAGCTTTACAGTGCAAACATTACCTGGTTTGTTTAAATAATAAAGGCAGAACTTCTGACGTTAATCTGGGAAAACAACTTTGAGGCTGGTTGATTTTGTGTTCCCCACCTTTTTGGAGACACAGAAGATAGCACGCGACTTTCTTCTACTTTGCAAGGCTCTTGGATGTGTTGCAGTTACATCTGCAAAGATGTTAAATAAGTTGTTGAAATTGGTTAAATAGAAGCTATTATATGAAAAATGGGCAAGTAAATAGAGGCATACAAGAAAAGCTGTGTTTTGAAATGGTGTCACTTTTCTGCAAGGAGTAGGCATTGAAAAGACAACTTTAATTAAAGTCTTTATTTTCCAGCACATTTCACAGTTTAAAGATAGTAAACAGTAAGCAGTGTTTCCCACTTGGTGATAAAATTTACTCTTTACTCTGAAAAAAAAAAATTAAGACCGTTTTGTGCAGGGAACATTCTGCTCCTGTATATAGCACTGGGTACAACAGGAGCAGAATTGTACTGTTGTCAGGAGGTAGGTGGCATTTGGGCACCTGTCACCATGGCTGTAAGCACATATCCCTTTTCTTGATTCTCTTACCCCAGCTGAAGCTGCCCCAGCCCCCCGTTTCATCCAAGTCTTCCTGCACAGAAGTGAACGTAAATGTTTCTCAGTTTTCTATGCTCTTGCTTTTCTCTCGCTCTCTCCCCACCACCTCCAAACCTGCCCATTTTATTTTCCAGACTTTCCTCAGCTTTCTTGCAATGCCAGTACACTTCTCAAATTTGCAGTTTGCTCCCAGACAGAAATCTCCCTGTTTAGGGCAAAGGAGGGGGGGGGGG